TGTTCTTTGACATCTGCAGAGAACATCTAGACTGACTCTGCCTTTTATAATCTCTTGAGGAAAAAAAACAAAAAAAGCACCACAATAAAAAGTGTTAGGCATAAAAATCTGCAGGGCAACTTCATTTAATGACCCAGAGGGATGGAGGGCAGATGTGGTAGGACAAAATGTAAGTGAAAATCTTACACGATAGGGTGAAGGAGACTTAGAGAAAAAGTATGTGTAAGGTAGTTCATCTGAAGCTGGACTGGTTTTGATGATATACAATGCACTGAAGTAGGATTGTAAAAGCACGAGGTTATACCAAGAGGACCAGTTCCTCACTGAATCTGTTGTTGTGCTCTTTTGCCACTAGGTGACTCTCAGCTAATACATTTATTTTACCAAAAAAAGAGAATCTCCCTAATGGAGAGATGTTTGAGGTGGGCTTTGCCTCCCCGCTCATGATGAAGGGCTGCAGCTTTGGGTGCCCGCTGCTGCGCTGCTCACTCCAAGCTCCCTGTGTAACCCCTGGGGAGAAATGTGAAACTTTAGGATGTGATTCACTGACCTGTTTTAGGTCCCATGAGGGCAGTTCTCAGTCCGCTGGACTCAGGGCTGCTTTTAAGAGTGGTGTCGTTTTACTCAGTAGATGTGTTAGGGCTTGTTCTGATGCTCACACAGAGATGGCTGGTGCCACCTGAGATGCTCTAAACCTCTGAGATGTCCACATGGATGTCCATGAGAAGATGTTACAGAGCCCCTGTGGGAGACACGCCCTTCTGGAGCAGCAGCCAGGATGTTCTGGTGTATCTCCAATGGTTCTGAGTATCTGTTTGGGGGATATTCAGCTGAGCTCTTAACTCTCTCCTTATCACTTGACCTTGATAGAAAAAACTCTGACATGGGTGGCTGATAAAAACAGAGGAACATCTGGAAGAAAGTGAGGAGTTCTGTGTACCAGGGAGGTCTTCTATCTATGGCAGAAATGATCTACACCATAGTGAGCACTTACAGCTGCTCAACTTTGAAGCTAACCAACAGGAAGAAACAAAGATGAACAAAACAGTGGCCTCTGTCTGGGTTAAATGTGCTACATTATTGATCATGAGCTTTAAACGGCCCTCTGTGGCCCATGGGCTCAGGATGAAAGGTGTGCCGTGGGGAGAGAGGTCCTGTGGGGAAGGGCATTTCTGAAGGGTGGCTGTCAGGGGACAGCCCCTCTGGAAAAGGACAAGACCAAAGAGATGGTGCTCTGCAGGAAATGAAATAAAGTATTCTGAGAATCTGGAAAGGTCTTTTTTAAAAAAATATATAAACGTCCTTTGGAGGTTTTTTTTTTTAAGTTTGTTTGCAAAGCAGTGGTTGCCTGTGAGGAGCTCCCTGGGAGGAGAGAGGCAGGGCTGGGGCAGTGGAGCAGAGGCCGTGGCACTGGGAGGTCTGTGGGGACCAGCCTCCCACTGGTTTCCTTTGCTCTGTGCGCCAAGAAAAACTGAGCACTGGGGCCTGAGGCATCTGAGCTATTTGCATCAAAACGATCTGACGGTTCCTCTCGAAATGAGATGGTATGAACTAGTCTGTGGTTCCCAGCCCAGGTATTTGAATCATGTCATTGATGCTGGCAGCTGAAATACTGGGCCATGGGTCTCCAAACATTTATAATTTTTCAGATAGTACCCTTGGTCCAAAGTTTTATTCCTATCACAAGTTAATCCTAGGAGCACTTTTTTACCTTCTGACCAACACAGATTTGCATGCGGCTGATCTCCGGCATGAGTTTCAAATGCAGAAGACAGAGGGATAATTTGATTAGAAAGTAACATATTTTTACTCCTTCTGTGAGATCTTGAGTGTTGAGACTGCACAGTGGTAATAAATGTAAAAATTAAACAAATATTTTATCATTATGCTTCTGTGATTTTTTGACGATTATTTAAGATTGATAGATATAGAGAAGAAAGATGGATAAATGATAGGTAGGTGGGTAGGTAGATAGAAGATGAATAGAGATAAAAGACAGACATAGAAGAATACTGTGAGTTCCTTAGTTTTACTAAATTCTTCATGTGCACAGTATGTAAAACATTTCAGAGACAAAATACGTCTTTCCTTTGTTAGATTTCCCTGAAACAATTCTTCCCATTTTGAAAAAAAAACCAAAACCAAAACCAAAACAACTTAAAATCTGTAGTAATCACAAATCTGAAACATGGCATTTTTTCTTTAATTAAGCCAACTCTCTGTCCATGTCAAAATTATTATTAGTAATATTATTAGCCATTTTCTTTTGAAGCCTTGCCCCCCAGAAGAACCTGGGGTTGCAGGTCTCCCCGCAGTGCTCGGTGTGAGGAGCTGCGCCTTTTGCAATGTGCCACTGGCTCCTGGAGAAGGCTCTGATGACAGTTCTGAGAAGTCAGGCTTTGACTCATGTAAAAGGTGATTTGTGGGACCTGAAAAGCCATGAGCTGAAATTATTTCATCTAATTTTAGACACCTTTATGTATCTTGTCTTTTTTAGCATCCTTGTGTTTACAAGAGACAGGCGCTTGCTTTGGTCACCCCCACCTCTGTGTTGCTGGCTCCAGCTGAGATACTCGAGTCTCTAAACATCTGTGAGTGGCTCTCAGGTGTGACAGAGGGCATGTGGGAGACCCTTTCCACCTGGAATGGCAGCTGGAGGATGAGAAGGATGCTTTGCTGTACTTCAAATGGCCCCAGATGCCTCCCACCTGCCTTAGACGTCTTCTTCAATGTGGGCTGGGGGAAGGCTGCCTCGTTCCATGGACTATAGAGCTTGATGCCTGCCCCAGAAAAGACTCCTTTTCCAGGCCTCAGGTTAGACAATATAACTGAACTTTCTGTGTTATTCCATGTCTCTTTCTGCTGGAGCTAGTTTGAAGTCCCAAGTCCTTTAGGTCACACAAATCAAGCCAGCAAATAACTTCAGAATAACAATATTTAATATTTACACACATCAGTGAGACCAGTGACAGCACAGTTGGCAGGACAGAGGGTGTCCATGTAAGCACACAGACGTGACACAGAACATCCTCAGGGCAGGACAGCTTGGAAGGAGCCGGTGGCAGCTGTACAGTGCATTGACCTTCCCGTGCTGGAGCCAGTGTGTGCCGGTGGGCACCTCTCTGGGTCTCTCTTGCCCAGTGCTGGCACAGCCCAAACTGGCTTTATCATAGAGATGAGAGTCGGGGGGCAGAACTAGAGGATGAGGACTGGGCTGATATTTAGGGGCTGTGAAGAGCTCATAGAGCCCCCCTGCTAACAAAGGAGTCTCTCTCTGCCTGACTACATGCTGAATATCCTTACTTCTAGCTGCCTTCTGGACTCTTTTCCTGGCTGAATCAGTTGGCTTTGTTTTGATGTCGGCTTTGTATGGTAGCGCTGGCCAGGATTCACTGCTGACAACGAACGTGAGCTTTTTGAGCCACCTGCCAAGTTTGGATGTACCTAGACATGATTGCAACCTTTGGCAAATCTTATGCTTTTTTTTTTTTTTTTTAACAGAACCTACTTTTAAGTTTTATGGGTCAAATTTCCTGCTTCTCAGGGTGAAGCTATGCTCCAAGGATGTATACATGTGCTCCTCATCTTAGCAGAACTGACATTTTTCTTCCCCATTTTGTGTAAAAGGGACAGTTCTGCAAAGCATTTTGTGTGCTGCATTAGAGGACAGCGTGTGTGTCTGCAATAACTGTGTTCAAACAACTTGCTCCTGTGCTATAATGCAGAAATAAGAACAACTCATGACTGAGAAAACTTTGAAAATTAGACTCCAAGAGCTTTAAGCATATTCCAATTTTCATAACTGCGTTCATGCGTTCAGGCTGAATAAAGATTATCTTGCAGTTTGGCTGACTCAGGGAAGTTAGTGGCATGTCCAGGTGTTAACCTTTGAGGAAGTCACTGAAGTGACAGGGCTTCTGAAATCTGCCAGTCATGGTCTTTAGCATCAAGGGCTTGATCTTGAGTGATGATGGGGAATTACCCAGTTCCTGGTTGGGATTACTGTTGCTGTAATACTAAGACTGATGCAATTTGCTGCCTTACAGATTATATCTCTTATTTGTTACTAAGATGCACGTCATTACTATCTTTATCGATTTAATGTTTATCTTTACCAGTTAATTGCTTTGTCCATGTGATTTATTTTAGAACAGCCCTACAGACCTGTGTGGAAATTAGTGAGACTCCTATGCAGTCTCATGAGGACAAAATTGGTGCTGAGGATCTCCTCCTTTTTGTTAAACTGGACATTGACAAACTCTTGCTCCAAACCCTACTGTCTACATTGACCAAAATGCTCCTCCAAGGCTACCACATCTCTCAGATGCTTCTGAGGAAACGATTTAGAAGTGCACAAGTCTTTGTCAAACACAGCAGCAAGCTACTGAATGGGCAAAAGGGGATTTGGTTACAGGGTGGCTGAAGGAGGCTGAAAACTGTGCTTCAGTTGCCTCTGCAATGTTGCAAATATTGCTCCATATATGCTCCATATATGTGCTCTGCACATCCTAATTTAGATCTGGGAGTGCCTGGTTAGAAAGTTAATAGGAACAGACAGGTGAGCTCACGGTGGGATTTGGAGGGGATGGGAGATTATTTACATCCAGCCAGAGAGTGCCTGCTTCGTGCAGCTGATGAATGTATACATTAACAACGGTTAAGTTTCCCCTATACACAAGAGGGTAAGCGGTGAGCTTTTATCTGGGGACTGTTGTGTTTTATGCACAAGTGCAGCAGTCGGGACCAGATAGATTAGTGGTTTTGCCAGTACCTGAGATTTAGCAGGAGTATTTAGAGAGATGAAGATTTGGAGTCTCAGAAGGAAATGATCTGGCCCTTTTCCATCCTGACTTCTTTATAAAAAATTCATTTTGTCCTATGAAACTTCTGAACATTTTGGGTTTTCTTTGTTGTCCCCCCATAAATAGAGCACAGTGCACTATCCATATTGTTTGTGAATCAGCGGTTCGGGGCTTGTCCTGGCATCCCCTGTTGGTCATTCACATTCCAGAAATATTTGTCTGAAAGGCAATGAACGAGAGATGATTAGTTAATATTCCAGAGGGATATCAGACTTACTGCAAGCATCTTGTACAATGAAAATAAACAGTGTAAAGGATGCAGTGGTGATAAATGGAATCTGAAAGGTGTATTCTTCCATTTTGTAAAATTACTTTTTTACTACTGTTCACCAATTAAAACCCTCTACTGTTCATGTCTCTCTCTTACAGATGCTGGGGGTCATTACGCTTTACCAAAGTCTTCCTGAATAGGAAATGACCATGCAAGCGAGTATGTCAATACATCACATTGCTCCACTGTTTTGAAATGTCTGAGGAGAGCGCTATCCCTGTCTACAGTGACAGAGAGAGGCAATGGGCAAGTGCATCTGTTCTGCCTCAGCTCGTTCAGGGCTGTGCAGATCTCTCTGATCATGTACCATTCCCAGATCTTGAAAAATAAAAATGGTAAGAATGCGAAGCACTCTGATACCTTTCTACTGCATACCAACCTTTCTTTTCCTCATACATGTGCCACATATGAAGCCAGTAAGTCCGTTGATAACTTGAATAAAACAAAGAATAGCTTCAATCACACCAATGGCCAGGAGAATAGAGAAAAGGACAATATTCCAAAGGATGATGTTTTCAGGTTCTTTGCAAATGCTCCATGTTGTCTGGTTGAACAAATAGTTGTCTCTGCGATAGAGAAAAGTAATTGGCAACACATTAGAAAATAAAAATTTCAGAATGCTTTCTGCATTTTCTGACATTACATTTTCTGAACTTGATTGCACAAAGTGAGTCTCAAACTCTCCTATGACTGGTAAAAGCTGGTGATTCTCTTCAGAACTCCCTTTGCAGAGGAACAACTGAAGACTAGGGAAGAGCACCACATCTGTACTTTGTTGCATGCGCAAGAATCTCTCTTTCATTTTACGGCAGTGCTAATAACTGAATAGAGAGATCCTTAATGGTTTAAAAACGTGTCTCTGTATTAAAAAAAGTGTCAGACCAGTGAATCCATCATCTCTAGCTCTGGCTTGAAGAGTGTGGTTGCCAAGGTTAACTTTAAAGATTCAGAGAAGATTTTTGCTTTGCTTTTCAGAAGTAGATAGAGTAGACTCAATTCGTGATGATTTAACAGATTATTGTGGCATAGTTATCAAACATTTCCTCTTTACTCCAGTGAGAGTCACAGCTAGCAGCCTTTTGAAAGCATGGTGCAACTTGCACAAGGGGCTGCTGACAAACACAACAGAAGAAAAACTCAGGCAGTTTGCCCAGAGATGATCCTTGGTCAGAGATGACCAGCTGGAACATGCTGGCTCAGGGAAATGTGAATTTAGGTGTAGACAGGGTGGACCATCCATTCACTCTGAAAAAATTCGAATTTGCTATGAAAAGATGGGGGAGGAGGAGGGCAGTTAGGGAAAGCAAAGTTGGAGGAGCCTGTAAGTCATACTCACTGCAGAGTGTCATTCCTGAAGGGGTAGAGGTATTCTCCATCACCTGTGTCGCACAGGGGGCCCCCAATCAGCCCCAGAGAGGAGATGACTGCACAATACGCTCCTCCCGCAAATCCCACCACAGCCAGGACCACTGACAGCAGCATCTGAAAGGGAAGAGACTTTCAACATCACATGCACAGAGGCATTGAGTAGCATGGAAAGGTTACACTAAATGGGAAGGAAATAATCTTTACTTGCTTATTACTATATGATGAAACTCATAATAATAGTATAATATTTGTGGGATTAAAAAATAGCCAGCTTTTTCTGACTAGTGCAGCTATCCTAGATGTTGAAAGATTTCAGACTGTATTTGTTTTACTTTTAAAAGTGGGTAAGCCTAGAGTTTTAATTATGCAGAGTTTTATACTTGAGCCATCAATTATAAAAAATCTGGTGGATCTTCTTTTAAAAAGCCAGTATGAAGCCAGTAGTGGCTTGACCTGGTCCACGTCATGTGCCTTGGCATTTCTAACTCTTCACCGAGAGCACCTTTCTCAGCCCTTTTACCAACAGACACTAGCAAGCAACTACAGAACCAGGTATGAAAGCAACATAAGATGCATTAGTTTTTTTTGCTAATTGATGAGGAATGCAAAAGAGCCTTTCTTATTGCTTCTTTCCTTCATTTTGCAAGAGCATGACATGTGGTTACCACTGCTCCTGTTGAGAAATCTAATTGCGCTGTGTGTGACAACAAATCAGCGGTGACTTCGAATTAAATGTAATGCAGCTGTACATTTTACGTCGGTCGCTGCCAGAGAAACGTTACCTTTGCTCTGTTTTGGGGTAGATTCCTATTAATGGAGAGGATGTATCTGGTTGATCTTTGTATATAGGAACAAGAATCTCAGGCAGGTGCTACTGGTAGTGTATCTAGGACAGGCTTTCCACTGTGTTAAGAGTCCCTGCCTGTGGCTGTTCACAACTCTACCAAGAAGAAGAACAAAGAAGGAAACTCCGGAGCAGACCAGGAGATCCAGGGGAAGACCTGAACTAGGGGCAAGGCAGCGAGACTGCCTTGGAGCCAGGGCAGAGACACATCTGAGGAAACACATGGGAAATGCTCCCCTCCATGACTTGGCTTTGGAGCCAAATACCTCAGGCTTCACATTTCCCTGTTGCCAGCAAATACCAGTGAAATCCAATAACCCACAAGGAAGGTAGAAACCTTCTTCTAATGCCAGGTGCTCCACAGAGTGCTGCATTACAGAGTCAAATGGAAATATCCACTGTCCATGTTGCAGATTTGTGACACAGTCTTGGAAACTATTCACTACCTAAACACGATCAAGCTGGGGAATGCAGTTTCCAACTTGCCAGCCAATAGAATTACTGCTTTCTGTACAGCCTTGCATGATGCCAGTATGTGATTTGATTGATTTTGTGTGTCCTTTTGCCTCTAAAGCAAATCCTGAGTTAGAAATTGCTGGGATTTCTCATGAGATTTATTTCACCATAACTGAATAATAACTCTGTCTTTTTTTGCAAAACTGCACACTCTTTTTGTCTTTATCTGCATGTTGGCTGAGTTGCCTCTTAGCAGAGCTTCATTGTCAGCAAAATGTAGGTAATTTAGTATATTGTCACAGACCAAAGCAGTGCTGGGCTGCAGCTGATGCCCTGCCTCTCATAATAAGATCACCATGCATCCTGGTGAATGTGAATGACTGATACTCTGTCTGGAACTCCTGCCTATGCTGAACCACTTCTCCTCACCTGTTTTCTCATTTACTCTGCATTCTGATTCTTGGTTGAAGGATCTTAATTATGCTAACGATTAGTTTTAGCACAGCATAGCAGTATGGGGAATCTCAAATACAATTGTGACAGAAAAAGACAATTTTTTTTTACTAGTTCCACATTTTATGATAGTGGTTAGTGCTAGTAATACTCATCAGTGCTATCTTTGATGGCTATTCTTGACACACAATTCTCTCATTTGAAATCTGTTGGCTGTATGGGTAGCTTCATCTCACCTACTTCCTTTACTGTGCACACAATTATATAGACAAAGACTACTTGTCACTGAAAGGGGACTCTGAAGTTGCTGCAGTGGTTAGTTTGGCTCTCTGGGGCGTTTTTTAGATGCACAGTGGCATTTCCCTATTATATCTACTCTTCTGGAGTATTTTCTGGAGGCTTCCCCCATGTTCTACAGAAATCCAGCGATTTTATTAACTATTGCATAATCTCAACCTTTCAGCATTTTCCCTAGCTGTACCATCTTAATTTATTACTTTTTTTGACATTTAATTTCCTTATTTGTGCCTTCATTTGCAACATGAGGTCTAAGCTGGGATGCTTGAGCTTGCTGAAATTAGTTTCCCATGATGCTGGTTTGTTCTCCACCTCTTGCAAAGGTTTTGCTGATCTTCTTTTAAAGTTTTCTCTGCTTTATCACTAACACAATTGGTTTGACCCTGCTGAGCTGATAAAGACTTTTAGTATTCATCCCCTGAGCATTTGTATTAGCTGCTTTGGTGAAGTTACCAAGTTCTGTCCTGGCTTGCGCTGCTCTTTATTGCCCTGATTCCTGTTTCACATGCATTTCTTTCTTTTCTGTTTCTTTCTTTGGAGGTGTTCTTTGGTGTTTTGTTTTGTTTTCCTGTAATTAGTATCCTGCCTGGTTATCCAGGTACCTTTGCTTATCTAGGTTTGTTTGTCTGGAAAGCTGCTATGGCTATTCTTGTTCTACTAGAAACTCTTAAGGAAGACTTCAAGAGAAATACCAGATTGCGTTTGCAGATGCAATGACGTAAGCTGTATTTTGGGGGCCTTTTTTCCTCATGGTGCCAGTGCAATGGATGCTTTCACATGTGTACATGCTGCAAGACACGGAAGCTTTCTAAATCTGTTACTTTCCAAAATCATTACTCCATAATGCAAGGACAAGAAGCCATCTAGCTATGTTTACAGGCAACAATTTAAAATGGATTAATGAAAAAACTTACTCAATGCAGCATGTAAGCACTGTGAACTAGAGAGCTCAATGAGGTGAATAAAAGGATGAGAAAGTTAGTAATTATTACTGTTGTCAATACTTCAGCAGCATGTAAAGGCTGTGATGAAGTCTGAAGCTATTAAATCAGGGATTGCACAAAATATAATAGGATTGAGTCCCTACCCTGAGGAAAATGATTATGTTCTGATTGAACAATAACTCTGATCAGTATTAGTTCTTTAGCTTTTTATTATTTTTTTTTTGGCTGTGAAAAGCAATGCTGAGTAATCAGTGTAAATTATAATTATATACCTAAGGTCTGCAAAGCAGAAAGGTGGACAAACTAGCCTTTGGATTACACAGGCTCCTGAGTGGCTCTAGTGTGGACTGTTTCTCTGCCAGTAGATAGAAGTTGGTGGACAAGACAACAAGAGGTGGGGATCCCACATCAGGTTCACCCAGACCCATCTCACAAAGAGCTCTGGCACCTTGGGAAGTCGCTGCCATCATGCATGTTTGAACCAGTCCCAGGACTCCTCTGCTCTCCGTCACCTGGTGATTCACACTGCACCCCGCCTTGGGCCTATGGTCAGGGCATCTGAGCAACCCTGCTGTGGATGTCTGTGCATTTTCTCCCTCTATCCCCAAAGCAAAGTTTCCTGGGGTTTCTTCTCCTGAAGAAGCATATCATTGGCCTTCAGATCTGCCTGCTCTACTCGCCTTTTTTTACATGCTTGGAAATCACTTTTCCCCAGGAGCTGTTCCAGGACAAATGGCTGTTTTTAATGCCATTCGTAGCCACTCACTCTTTTACTCACGTCCCTGTCTCACCTCTACATTAGGCCACATTCTGTTTAAACCATAGGGTGAGTTGTAGAGCTGAACTCCTTTCCACCTCGAAGAGGTGTGCAACTCCCATAGTCCTAGAAGATAACATTTTTGAAAATATACTGTCCTCACTGAGCCTCTTGTCTCTTTGGTTTGAGTAGCTTCATCCCCTGGCCATCAGCTCATAATCAAGCTATTTTCTCAACAATGTCTATTATATTCCCCTATAACAGCAAATATGGGAAAGGAGGAACAGTTCATAGGTAATGAGCATCCATGTGCTGCTGCTGGGAATGGCTCAGACAGCGAAAGAGTGGTGGAGGGGAGCAGAGGAGCACGGAGGTCTGCAGACAAGGGCTACCAGATGGCACTGTGTTACCACCTGCATCGGTGGGCTGGGGGAGCAAATCCAGCCAGTCTGGAAGTTTGACTCTTGGCTCTGTAATATTTAGTGCTGAGATGAAGGACAGAGAAGGGAGACCTGAGATACTGTGTGAACTGAGCCCAGTCCAGCTGGATTTCCCCTCCTGGGGAACACCCACAGGAAAAAAGCTGTTTTCCACCACCACTTTCTACACCACTCCAAACCAGGAGTAGCAGCTGTCTCAGGCACTGGGTTCAAGGTGCCTGGGCTCACACCCCAGCTCTGCAGCTGGCCTGCTTGGCCATCGTTAGCAAATCCTTCCTTCTGTACATCTGACATTTGGCAAAATCAATGTAATGACATGTCCCCTGGGATGTACTTCCTGACATCCTGATGAAGAATGTTATTTTGGTATTATGAATAATGAATTACGTAAAACATCTTGAAGAGGTAAAGGTTTTCTCATGGATCAAACTAAATATTAATTGCAGAGTACAGAAGAGACATGCTTTATTGCATGGAATCTCTTGTTCCAGGCTGCTTCTGGGAATGATGCAGCTTAAAAAAACATTTCTTAGGCAGTTTATTCTTGCTAATAATGGTAGCCACATAGAAGTCTGTGCCAAGGACTTGAGGACGTGCCTGATAACATGTTGCTTTATAAAATTCTTAATTATGACGGGAAAAAAATCTCTCTGGCCTTTCTCTGGATGACAGAGAGCCCAAATTGCATTTGTACCTTTCATGTGCATAACATTTGGGCAAATGCATGCTATGGGTCAAAGCCTTCCATGGGGACCTGCCTCCAGGAGGCAACACTGGCTCCTTAGTGCCAGCCACAGCAGTTCAAGCTTTTAGCCTGGTCCTGCGAAGTAGGGGACCTATCTGCCCCTGCAGAGGTAAGCAGGGATGACCCTATGGAAAAGCAAATTGGAAGGGTCTGGAGGAAACAGGACCAGGTGGAAGTAGAGGGAAGAGGCAGCTGTCTCAATCTTAGGATTGCCTGGAGCGGGAGGAAGATCAAACCATGTTTTACTTTATGTGGGGTGAGGTGAAGTGGCTTTATACAACTTTGCCCTCAGCGATGTAGCTAAATGCTCCAGTACCTGCTCTAGCTGAGTAGGATTTTCCTCATATCAGTGGCTGCAATACCATGACATCCTTGTTGGCTAACTGAGCTCTCAGTCCCAGCCCAGGAACACTGTAGATCAAGCTCTTCTGATGCATTTCCCTGACATGGCTGTTGATGGTGATGTGATGGTTTGTCATTGTACGTTTCCACCTGCTGAGCAGCCATTTAAGAGCTATTGTGCAAACCCTACAGTGCCATTTCAACACATAAATATCCACTTACCCCACATCTGTTAGCACAACATCCTGCTCCGCCTGCTCCCAGCATCATGAATGCCGGCAAAATAACCTGCGAGAAAAGCACAAGCTGAATTGGCGTGCAGTAATTCTGCTGGGATGGCTTTTGAAGTCTAGGGGCTGGGGCATCATGTTCCTCAAATGCAAACCACCTTCTACCTCTTCTCTGAGTTACACCTGTTTAGATGTTGGTGCATGCTGAAGAGTAACTCAGGAAGAAGTGGGAAAGACCTCATTGCGGCCTTCCAGTACTTGAAGGGAGCCTATAAACAGGAGGGGGAGCGGCTGTTTACAGGGGTTGATAGTGACAGGATGAATGGTTTTAAACTAACAGAGGGGAGATTTAGGTTAGATATTAGGAGGAAATTTTTTCACTGTGAGGGTGGATGCCCCATCCCTGGAGGTGTTCAAGGCCAGGCTGGATGGGGCCCTGGGCAGCCTGCTCTAGTGGTTGACAACCCTGCCCACAGCAGGGGGCTTGAAACTAGATGATCTTTAGAGTCCTTTTCAACCCAGGCCATTCTATGGTTCTATGATTCTATGAAGAAGTGTGGCATTACAGCTACAGCTGGCTGGCAAGTTTCTGGTACAGTAACTCTGGCTGCTGAAGCAGTTTTTTCAGGAACAGACCTGTCAGTTTTGAGGAAATGGAATTTCTGATCAAAAAGATGCATCACTGGAGTAAGAATTATATAATTTTACATCTCCTGAGCATCCTGCTCAGGATTTTAATTGGGAAATCAGTCTTAAATTTCCTGGAACACATGGGACTTTGGTTCTTTTTGCTAACTTCCAGAAAACCTACAAACTGAACTTCACTCAACAGGGAACTCCCAGTTCACATCATCTTTGTCCACGGTAATTATCAGGTGGAGCTCGACTGATACAAAGGTGTCAGCAACAATCTGTGTCTCAGGATATGAAGCCACCTTATAGAGGCATTCTGGAGATAGGAAAAGCTGCATTTAGTTTGGTAGCCAGTGGGCAAGAAAGCTTTTGTGGGTCTAGCTATGCAGCCAAAGCACTCCTGTTGCCTTTCTTGCCTCTGCCCACCACTGCTTGTGTAGGGCACCTCACAGTGCAACGCAAGAAAAGAAGTATTTGACAAAGTAGTAAATGATCCCTGTAAAGTTAATGAAAGAAGGAGAGACCACCACCATCCCCCCCTCCCCCCCAAAAAAAAGCAAACAACCCACCCAACAAAAACAACAAAGTAAAAGCTGTAAATCAGACTGACTATTTTTTGGAGAGATGTCCCATATAGGGCAGGAAGAGCAGAATGTCCATGGGGAATGAAACCTGCAAAATTTATGTGTGTAGTGTGACTATTCCTGTTAGACTGTGTAGGACAGTATTATGAAACCTGCTTAGATTTGCAGACCCCTAAATATTTTCCAATGGATTTGCTCTTCATTGCCTTTTATACACACGCCAGAGGCAGCCTCCAGCACCCGCAGCAGTTGCTGGACCACAGCTGTGGAGGGCTACAGATGTAGAGCATTAAGGTTAAAGAGATATTCCTCTTCCTGGAAACAAGTAATCTCTTAAATAATCACAGGTGGTCCACGAGGCAGTGTCAGCCCCAGCACGCCACGCTGCTGTCTGGCCCTCAGGAGGGGAGCTCATACCTCTGCCCATCAAACCGACACTCCCTTTCCTCCGGGGCTGTCTTTCTTCTTTGGAGGTTTCCCATCTAAGCTGTGAGCTCTCTTTTGTGTCCATTATTGGCCTGGCTCAGGATGAAGGATTTGCTTGGCAGCTTTTTTTTTTTTTTTTTTTTTGCTTGATTATAAACACCTGCCTTTTGACATGGGAATGAGAATTTGGCAGATTTGGCTGCTGTCAGTAAAATGAGAGTTGCTCTGTCAGGCATTTCCCAGTGTTGCACAAAGCCCTTCCATCAGGAAAGACATTATGATGACACATGGAGCCAGCCTTCTTCTCTTTACACCCTAAACTTTTGAAATAAGGAAATAGAGAGCATTTCACGTCATATAAATTTCCATTAGAGAAGCCACAGAGGAGGAGGAAAGGGTGGGGCCCGCTGCTCAGCTGAAGCTTGTGTTGATGATCTAGGTATCAGTCTACCGATGAAGTTCCCAGGTGGAGGCAGGTTTTCTGGCTCACAGAACCAGGCAAGGTTGTTATGAAGTTTCTCCCACTGTCCTGGCTCTGGAGGCTGTGTCCTGGTTACAGGGAGATTCTCCAAGGTTGGGCAGCCTGCTGGCATGACTTTCTCCCCATCCCTGAGTGTCCTTCAGGGGGAACCCGGATGCACAGGGGAATGCCACGCAGCCTGGTCTGCCTTCACTGTGGAGTCAGGATATGGCCTGGGCTAGGGTCATGGGGCACTCTTGTCTCTTGCTTAGCTCCCTGGGAGGCCCAGAACCCAATCATCATTTTCCTATGCTTCCAGCACCTGGAAAATGGAGCTGATGACAATGCTCCCTTTTCCCCTTCCCTTCACCTGTGGGCATTTGGCATGCTGTTTTTTGAAAAACATGTACACTCAACAGCATTGTTTGTGGATCAGTAATGACTCCGGTGTTTTGAAGGTCAATGCAAATTTTTCCTCCCCTCTCCCTTGCTGTTCTCATTTTTGATGTACGCAGTGCTGGCCACAGGCAAGCCTCTGTGGCAGCCTTAAAAGAAGGCACATTTTCAGTGAGCCTGTGACTCTCTCATGCCTAACATCTGCCTTTCCTTTCATTGAACGCCAATGACTCCTGGGCTTTCAGTGATACGAATTTTCCACAGGTCTCTCATGTAGGTCCACTTCTTCCTTTAGGCTTCCTTCCACAAACTCATGCTTACGTTCAAGGCCAGCATGAGTAATAGGCCCAAGTGGTAGCTGGAAGAAGACGCAGGCAAGCTGCTGGTGGAAAACAATTTATTGAATTATCTTCAACCATGTTTCTGCTTTGGGAAGCATGAGTCTGAACCACATACATTGTAGCTTTTCCATAGACTTAAGTGGTAGCTGCATCATAGCCTGACTGTGAAAGAGATTTGCTTTTTCCTGAGTTAATTATTCACAAATGTTAATTTTTGTTGATGTGCAGGTAGCCAGATCTGTGCCAGTTTACCATCTGCCTAGGCTGTGTAACAGCCAGTACTTGTCATATGCATGCTACTTGCTCAGCTTTTTATCTGCAGTTGGGTGGATAATTGCAAGAGCATAAAGGGAGCAGGCTTTCTAATGAACTGGGAAAATCAGTATTCCAAAACACGTTCACTTCTAATTGTGGATATTCACAAAAAAGTGATCTTCCCTGAGTGGTGGAATGGAGAACTGGTAATAGAAGAGTACATACAAACCAGATGAACCCAAAAGGAGGGAGGTGGGTGTGTGTGGGAACACAGGAGGTGTTTGGGATTTAAGCCATTTGCAGCTCCACACTCACTGAGTCTTGGCTGGGACTCTAACAAACACCTACAGAAACATGTTTCACTTTTGCCCTTGATGGTTTTTGTGAATTATGTAAGAATAAAGTCAGTTAGAGGAGTAACGTGAGGGTGCAGCCAATAGTGAAAACACCACCTCCAGCTGAGCTTAGGACCTCAGCTTTGCTTTGACTCACGGAGACATGAACACTGATGTCATCCTTCTCCACAGTGAAAGCCGGTCCTATTGCTTCCTCCTAACTTAGGGTGCTGACATTTATTTCAGGAACACCTTGTATTCCTGTGATTAGGGACTTTTTCAGTCTTGAATGTACTTTCTCAGTCCTGAACACCAACTTCCCAGTTAAGTTGCTTCATCACTTTTTTAAAAAACAAATTTAAAACAAACCAAAACCATAAGAAACAGTAGCAACACTTCTCTCTTACCAGTATGCCAGCTCCCAGAATGCCATGAAAAAACCAGACCAGATCAGTTATCTCACTGAGCTGCAGAACTCGTCCATTGGGGAAGTACAGGAGGATGTTGGAGACTATGGCACATGTCGCCAGTGGGAACAGGGTGATTCCAATGCACTTTGAACATTTCCCTGTGCACATGGTGGCTCTCTGCAGAGGAAAGATGCAGGGAGGTTTGGGTTACGGCAGCACAGGATGCATGGGATTTCAGCAGTTTTCTTCTTATTGAAGGAAGAATCAGTTTTGGAGCAAGAAATGTTTCAGCTGAGAATTAGACAGATAATCCTGTCCTATGGAGCCTGTTCCCTTCAGAGACTTTAGTGAAAATTAAATTTTTATAAACTGAAATGTTTAACTGAATTTATTTAAAATTGCCAGGACTGAACATGTGTTGGTATGAAATGAACGGAGAGTTTCATTTTAGTCATTATTGGAAGTTTGTCTGTCCATTGGGAACATCAGTAACACAACCACGGCTGCACAAACTGACACCCTGGCTGGCAGACTTCATGGTGGGGCTAAGGCCTTGGGTGGACGGGTTGCCTGGGACCACTTGCCTGTTTGGCACCCATGCTAAAATATCAGAAAAAATGGAAGCATGTCTAATCCTGTGGCTATTTGCTAAGGGCAGGTCACAAAGTCATCCCATGTAACTTTCAGAGATTTGCCATAACGTGTAAAACAGCAGCTTAATATTTCACAGTGGTCAGGTTCTTCTTTTAAATTCAAAGAACCAACATAAATGAAGCACTGGTTGAAAGGGATCTGTGCAGGTCTCCAGTCTGACCTCCTGCGGAAAGCAGGACTACCACCAACACTAGGTCATTGTGTCAGCCATGGCTTTGCATAGCTGAGCCTTGAAAATCCCCAAGGATGAAGCTACCACCATCTCTGTGGGTGACCTGTTGCATGGCTGCCCCAGCCTCTTGGTGGAAAGGTCTTTCCTCATGTCCAACCTGAATCTCCCAAGCTGTAAACCTAGCTGTTGCTCCTTGTTATATCCTCTCCCATCACTCCATCACCTCTGTTGCTTGCTTACAAATTTGATGTAGGCTGCTATGAGATCCCCCTTCAGCAAAACGGGCAGCCCCAGCTCATAGTGCACCCATGCTGTGATCTGTAGCCAAAGAGAAAAGGCTGATCAATACAAAAGTGGATCCATGGATATTTCTTCATGTCAGGTTGGAAATTTCAGACTATTGTAACTGAAATTATTGAACTTTCACATTGCCATTAACTTTATGGTGTGAACTGATCACAGCTTCTTCATGATGTTTTATCATAGCTTCACTCCAGCTCAAGGCTTTCAAACACATAAAAATACAAAATGTTAATCTGTGGGTTTCTATCCTCAGAGAAAGCTGACAGTTCATTATGAAGATAGTTTTGTCCTACCATAAGAAAGTTATAAAATGTAAGAGAAGGAAGATAATCTAGATACACACCATTTCAGTACACACCGCCATGTTACACACACACACATGCACCCATGCCTACGCTCGATACACCCAAATGGTATTTGTAATAACAGGGCAGTAAACAGTGAAATGTCCCTCAATTTAGTCGTGTGTGTTGGCTAATCCTGAAAGTTTTGTGACAGAAGTTGGTGTTGAGAAGGTATTAAGCAGGCTAGAAGTACGGAAATCAATCAAAGTTGGGTTCCCTAGCAAAAGCCCAGGTGAAAGACAGTATGAAGATATTTGAGAAAGCCAGAGACAGGCTGAAACCAGCTTGGCTGACAGAACGAAGACAGCGAAGAGGTGAGGTAAGGCACAAAAACAGACCAATATCCTCAGACCTCTGTAACTGAGGGGGAAAACAGAAGACTTTATGGGATGCCATATATTGCTGTGAGGTAGCTGAGACTGCCAGAGACTTCTGAGTTGGCATTTCTAAAGCAACAAATTTGCATTGTTCTCTGCTGCTACGAGTTTAATAAGAGCAATGTGCTTATGTGCCTTATCTTCTGAGCACTTTACAACTCTGTTATGCTTTTTAATCCAGCTTTAGAACAAGTTAACTGGCATTAAACTGTTCCAGAAGGAAACATTTTTAACAGAGATGCTTCTTGGTTTACGGTCATTACCTGCTGTTTATATAGTGCTCAATATTAGGCAGGGCATTTGCAAACCTCTGGAAAACAGCCCCAGCTTAAAGAGATAAAAATCTAAGACTGACAATCTGCAAATGAAAGATGAAGTGGGGAGGGAGTGGAGGGAAATGGAAAGAATAGTGGCTGTTTCCCCTGTCTTTCTCTCAAATGCCCAATCCATTTGCTATTTTTTTTACACTAACTTTTGCCTGTCTGCTTTGCCGTCTCATTCCAACTTTTGCTTTTCCATGCATTTGCCCAACCTCACCTACTTCCTACCCTCCTAGAGAGAAGCAAACAAGCACAGGCACAGCCTGTCCTCCTTCTAGAACAGCTAAGTCTTGTAGGCAAGTAATAAATTCTCTTCTGCATCTTTCGCACATAGCCGGAGGGCCCAGTTCTCGCCCAGTGCGAAGGAACATGATGCTGCCCTGGCTGGAAGAACAGGGGTTTGCAGCCCATTCTCTGTGACCTACCTCAATACCACTTCAAACTGCAAAGAGAACTTACCTAAACATCAATCATCAGAACTAGAGAGAGCTTCTACCACCAAAATCAATGCTGCTTCGCTACCTGTGTACATCAGAGGACTTGACCGTGTTATTACAGCTTAGGAAAACACTCTGGATTGCCAGAAGCACTCAAAATGCTTTATTAATTAATTCAGCAAACAAAAGCGCTTTCTACAGCTTCGTTAAGTGAGGTGACTAGAGCAAGCTTCTAATGTTTAACTAGGGTTCTAGAAAGTTTTGCTTTTTAGTGCTGAGTGAAGCATGTAAGTACCTTTGCTTACCTTCTAGAAGGGGCTAAGATGGCCTCCAGGCTCCAGCGCTCCCACAGCCGGCTTCAGGCTTTCCAGCTCCTCTCTCCTGGAGCGCGGCGGTCTGAGGGAGGCACAGCGATGTTTTTGGGTGATGGTGTCTATTAAACAAATAGCTGTTTCTCTCCAGAGAATGAGGAAATACCCCAAGTTATCCCTGGTTGGCCAGCATGAGGTTGGCATGTCACCCAGTGTTATTGATTATTTGAAGGCAGTGTTCCAGTGGTCAATGCCTTGGCCCCCGGGACAGGCAGATCAGAGCAACAGAGACCTTTTTACTGCTGCAACCATTTCAGCTGTGCACGGTTAAAATCAGGAGATGGCAGGAGTGCAAGCACACCAAGAGAAGGTGCGGTGGCACAGCAAAGTCTGGCCATCACTGTGGAGTTGTCTGCTGCACAAAATTTGAAACTGGTTTTGCTCCAAACCAGGCTGCTGGGAGAGCTGGGTGAGGAGAGCGGGGATGGGAAGGGAAGGAAAAAAAATTCTCAGCAAGAGAAGGAAAAAAATAGGGAGAAGGGTAGAAAGTGAAGAAGCAAGGAAAGAAAAACACAGTTCCAAGGAGGGGACAGTAGGAATATGAAAATTCACTTTGGCAGAGGAGAAGAGAAAGGTGGAGGAGACACTAGAGATGGGCCAAGAAATGAAAAACACAATAAAGAGTATGAAGAAACATTAAAATTAATCTGAGCGAAGACTGATACTGAGGAAAAAGGGACATTCTTTTGTAGGAAATGTAATAATAATAACTATTAAAATATGTCCAAACACTAAAATATGTAAACATATTGTTACTTGGTAGGTTAGAATGGCCCAAATCATGCTGGGAATATGCTCAGATCCTTTTCTTCAACTGAAAACATCCCCCCTCTGGCAGGCACGTGCTGTTGCCATGTTCTCAACATCCAGATGGAGGGATGACTTGATTACAAAAACATTAAGGGGCATGTGAGTGAAAGCAAAGATGCAAAATATTCCACTGTCCATCCTTCCGTCTCTCATCTCCATTCTCTAATCTCACTGCGAAAGACTAACACTGGCTGTGCTAGTTGGAGTTCATCTCACATGACTTTGGATGTCCATGAGGTAGGTGTCACCCTAGACTGCATTTATTCCTAGTGAGTGAAACAGACACTTATAAGAAAAAAAAAATCACAAGATCTATTTTAGGAGTTACTGTAAGGTTACAGTAAATTTTTAATGGTGAAAGAATCTGAACAATTTTTCAGATCTAGATGTTGGCATCTGTGGTCAGATGATCACATCCATGAGGACTGCCAGTGTGGCAGGGTGGCTGCAAAAGCACAGGGGCAAAGTCTGGGACTTCAGTCTCCAGGTTACATATTTAATACCACCATCATCTGAGGATGCAAGGAAGGTTGTCTTCATCACTGACTCACAAACAGTGAAAATCTTTAAAAAGCCCATGGAACAACCCAAAGCACAAATACAGGCTGGGAGGAGAATGGACTGAGAGCAGCCCTGAGGAGAAGGACCTGGGGATGCTGGCAGATGAGAAGCTCAACATGACCCAGCAGTGTGCGCCTGCAGCCCAGAAAGCCAACCATATCCTGGGCTGCATCAAAAGAAGTGTGACCAGCAGGTCGAGGGAGGTGATTCTCCCCCTCTACTCTGCTCTCATGAGACCCCACCTGGAGTACTGCATTCAGCTCTGGAGTCCTCAGCACAGGAAGGACAGGGACCTTTTGGAGCAAGTCCAGAGGAGGTCATTGAAGATGGTCAGAGGGCTGAAGCACCTCACACATGAAGACAGGCTGAGAGAGTTGGGGTTGTTCAGCCTTGAGAAGAGAAGGCTCCAGGGTGAATTTATAGCAGCCTACCAGTACTTAAAGGGGGGTACAGGAGAGATGGGGAGGCACTCTATGTCAGGGAGTGTACCAATAGGATGAAGGGTAACAGCTTTAAGCTGAAAGAGGGTAGGTTTAGATTAGACATAAGGAAGGAATTTTTTTCCTGTGAGAGTGATGACGCACTGGAACAGGTTGCCCAGAGAAGTTGTGGATGCCCCATCCCTGGAGGTGTTCAAGGCCAGGCTGGATGAGGCTTTGAGCAACCTGGTCTAGTGGAGGGGGTGCCTGTCCACGGCAGGGGGGTTGGAACTTGATGATCTTTAAGGTTGCCTCCAACCCAAACCATTCTATGATTCTATGATCCTACGATCTCAGGCAAAGAACCTTCATTGTAATACAGGTGGCAAAAAGGAGGGAA